ATTAAAAAAGAGATACTCCTTCTTTTCCAATATAAATGTTAAATGCTATAAATTTCCTTCTAAGTGCTGCTTTAGTTTCATCCTAAACATGTTGATATGTCATATGTGAAGTTTTTGAGGGACAGGGGAGGGAGGGCGTAAACAGTTTTACTCTGTTGCCCAAGCTAGAGTATCATGGCATCAGCTTAGCTTACCTCATAGCAACCTCAGACTCCTGGGTTCAAACTGTCTTCCTGTCTCAGCCTCACTTGCGGCTAGGACTACAGGTGCCCCCCCCCCCAAGACACCTGTCTTATTTTTCTATTTTTATTTTTATATTATTTGTTTGTTTATCTGTTTATTTTGAGGCAGAATCTCACTTTGTCACCCACCATAGAGTACTATGGTATCATAGCTCACAGCGACCTCAAACTCTTGGGCTCCAAGTGATTCTTTTGCCTCAGCCTCCCGAGTAGCTGGGACTAAGGGGCCTGCCACAACTTCTAGCTAGTTATCTATTTTTTAGTTTTTCTATTTTTTGTAGAGATGGGGTAGAGATCTGGCTCTTGCTCAGGCTGGTGTCGAACTCCTAAGCTCAGGCAATCTACCCGCCTTGGCCTTCCATAGTGCTAGGATTACTGGGGTGAGCCACCATGCCCAGGCCATGTCTTAATTTTTATTCAGTTCAAAATACTCTAATTGTCCTTGCAATTTTTTTTTTATTTTATTTTGGGACACGATCTCACTTTGTTGCTGTTGATAGAGTGTTGTTACATCATAGCTTACAGCAACTCTAAACTCTTCAGGTGAAGCAGTCTTATTGCCTCAGCCTCCCAAGTAGCTGGGACTACAATGGCCAGCCATTTTTAGAGATAGGGTTCTTGCTCTAATGCAGGCTGGTCTTGAACTCCTGAGCTCAGGCAGTCCACCTGCCTTAGCCTCCCAGAGTACTGGGATTACAGGTGTAAGCCACTGTGACCAGCAATATTTGCAATTATTTAGAAGTATAGTGTTTAGTTGCCAAATACTTGGGGGATTTCCAGAAATAGTCTTTGATTTATAATTTGATTTCATCATGGTCAAAGAATATATTTTTTGAAGTTTGAATCCTTTGCAACTTGAACTTGCTAAATGAATGAGTCACCTGTACTTAGTAATGATATGTATTCTTTGGTTGGACTTTTTATTAATGCCAATAATGTTTAGTTAGTTGATAATGATATTAAGACAGTCTTCTGGCTCGGCGCCTATAGCTCAACCGGCTAAGGCGCCAGCCACGTACACCTAAGGTGGCGGGTTCGAATCCCCAGCCCGGACCTG